ACTGTCCTTCCCGCGTGAGTTTGGCAAAAAAAAAAAAAATGACACTTCAGATTTTTTAAATGGACAAAAGGTGGAGCGGAGCGGTGGAGAGGGGAGTGTGTTTTAGGGAGAGGTCAGAAGGGGGAAGTCAGCTGGTGCGGGTGTGTTTTTTTTCTTCTTCTTCCTCTCCTCCCAGCCTCAGCGCGAGTGCTGTGTTTGTTGCCTAATTGAAACGTGTCCTGCCTCCCGCTCACTTACATCCCAGGCACAGGAGGCTGGCACCTCGCCACCAGCGTAGCTCAGCACGCCCAATTCCCCCGTCGCTCGAGTCCCAAGGAGTGCTCTGGCGCACAAAGAGAAAAGTGAACCTACAGGCTTGTACAGCGAGGAGATGAGTCGCTATCTCCCTCTGAGGCAAAAAAAAAAAAAGAATCTCCTTTTTTTTGTTGTTTTCCTTCTCATTACAGCACTTTGTAATATTCGAAAACACACAGGAACACCAAAGGTACTTTTAAAGCCCGCTTCTGTTTTTTTTTGTTTTTTTTCATCTCGTAACATGTCTTGAGGTGAAGAAGAACTGAAGTTACTACCGGCAACAAAGCAACAAATAAAAAATAGGGTTACGGTGTGCTATTTAGTAGCCCGCACAACTTTGGGACCCAGAAAACAGACCCGTCTTATGTGATAATTAAATCATCCACATCAACTTTCTATGATCTTTCAAAGAAAAAAAGTACACCTGCTAAAGGAATGCATAACCCAGTTTGTGAGAAGGAAACAGGCATACTGAGGTGTTGCGTATCTGCCTAGAAGACTAGAATACAACAACTCCGAATTGGGAAGAGAGTACGGAGGAGGGTTGCGGGGGCCTTTTTTTTTACCCCGGGGGCCTGCCTGCTTGAGGGGGGGGGGCTGCCTCTTTGAGCAGAGCAGTTTGCGGAGGGCCAGAGGACGAGAGCCTGTGAGCCGGCAGATATTACTGGCCCTAATGAAAAACTAAGGGGCCGCTACATTGTCCTCTGACACACGAGAGCCTCTCCTCTCTGGCTGAAGGGGCTTATTCGGCGTGGGCGGATTCCCATCTCTCCGTGACCTGGTCACTTTGTGGAGGATGCCGGGGCCCAATCAAGAACACACGTTCCTGATTGTGTGTGTGCGTTAAGGTCCCGGCTGAGCAAAGGCTTAACATAAATGAGCATAAACACGGCTCGCTTTCACTACGGTTGTGCATAAGTCACTTGAGTATCGTATCGGTCTAATTCGATTCATGGTTTCCAACATATATGTTCGTGCTGTACAGCGAGGCAGGAACGAATAACTGTAGGCTTTTAATTGGAGCCACGCAAGGCTCAGAGTTGAGCTGAGGTCGGAATTAATTTCGGTATAGGTTCAAGACATTTCAAGCAGTGCCGGCACGTCGAAACGGGTGAAAGCAAATCCCTCAATGCCCAGAAAGGAAACATGTTTGAGGAAAATAAAGCTTTGAGATTTCCACAACTTGTGGTTTCCCTCGGACAAAAAAAAGGAAGGCCATAGTTTACGACGGTCGGGTCCTTAACAGCTCAGAATTAACAATGCTATACGGTGGACATGCTTTAGCAGCCTCAACGGGCTTTTGGCCAGATTCCGGCCAGGTGTGGTAGCCAATTTGTCTTACCCCCCGACCCTCCATCTTTGCCCCGTCCCTGCTCCGCTCCTCTTCTCCAGTTCACTCGTTTTTCCCCCGTTGTCCAGTTGCGCCTGCAGACGCGGTTGCGATGATGAATCTGTGGCTGCAGTGTGTCTGTGTGTCTGACATCGTGATGTATCTCCACCGGCCTTAACTCCCTCTCTATCTCTCTCTGCCTCTCCCCCCTCAAGTCTCCTTTCCCCCTCCATCTCTTTGTCTCCGTTTCTCTGTCTCCTTCCCTCTCTCACTCTCTATGATTAGGCATCGCCCGGCCTCCTGCCCCGCTGATGGAACAGACAGAACACACAGACTCACGACCGCCGCCGAAGACGACAAACAACAAACAGGAACTGGGCGCCACCATTTGCCCATTGATTTTCACTGGGGGGCATTTTTTTTTGAAATAGCCCATCTGACCTTTCGGCCAAATGGTTGTGAATTGAAGGAAACCGGGTCGCTGGACCGTTCTGCCTCTCTCTCACGCAAAAAACAACAACCTCCACCAGCGTCTATCGGACCAGCCTGCTCTGCTGGTGACGAGGCTGTGGGCGAAGCTGTCGGTGCAAATTCACATATGCAATTACTAAGACTAAAATCCTGAAGCCCTTCAAGTGTCAACTGGACAAGAAAAGCATTGTGGTATTTCTGATATCGTAATTAAGTTTATACTAGACCAGGTCCAGAAGACAGACCATGGAATCAATGGTTTTATCCCCTTGGGAGCATGAATCAACTGGGTGACCTTCATTTGCCTGCAATATTGTGAGGTATGCTCTATATTCTGTGTGTCCACGCGTTTGGCCTGAGGCTGGCACCAGCAGAAGGCTCATGGATTGACCATAATAACAAGGTTTCATCCGCTGGGGAGCATGAATGTCCCTAGTGAATGTCGTGGCATTCTGCCTATTTTTATATATCGTTTCCAAGTGAACATTTTGGCCTGATTGTTGCACTAAGATGATCAATGACAAGATGACAAAAAACGTTTGAACACCAAATACAGTATATATATCTATATATCTATAGATATATAGACTATAGTTCAACCAAATGGATCTCATCCAAACTTGTCCTTATTGTTACCGTCAAAAAAACAAAAGGTGATAATTCCGAGAGAATATGCGCAATGCTAGTGAGTTAACTGAAGCGCACCTATGATGTGGCCCTGCGAGAAGATGCTCCACCGCCGCTCTCTCACCTCTTTTCGTAGAGTTCGTCCTTCCTGCAAGGCTTGAGATGTTGCACATTGTACATATTGTAAAGCCCTTTGGGGCAAATTTGAGAGTTTGGGCTGTGTAAATTGACTTGACTTGACTAGATATTCAACCTGTGCTTGACCATTCTCCTTGTTCATGGATTAATATCCGGTCGTACACCTGCCCTTTTTCTGCCCGTTTCGATACTTGGTTCAGGTACGTAACACGCTGTAATTCCATCTCTCCTAAATGATGATTGTTTGGTGGTGGTGGTTATTTTGTGTGTGTGATCGGGGGGGGGGCTGGCTCCACTGCCCGAGCTCGGGCTCATTACCCTGATGAAATTTTGCACAGAAGCGTGAGCTGCCGACAGACTTCGCTAGCAAACTCAGGTGATGGAGACCGGAGAGGCACGGGGACTGAGAAACGACGGCCATTAGGCAAAAAAAGAAAGAAAAGAAAGAGGTGAGGGAGGGTGAAAGAGGGGTGTGTGTGTGTTTGTGTGTGTGTGTGTGTAGGGGAGGGGTCGGGAGTCTTCCTCGCCTCTCTGTAGCGGGAGAAAGCATTACATAAAGTGACGATTTCCAAACTACCTTCTTAAAATTCCAGAAGCAAATGATAAGCGTGTGCGCGCACGCCGTGTCTCCTCGCGCTAATCTGGCCGCATCCAGATGACGAGCGGACTGCCACTTAACGGGGAGGAGATCCGCTTTGATCACACGGCCCCTGGGGGGGGCCAACCTATCGCTTATTGCCTATTACGCTGCCTCATTTGCATATGTGGGGCTTATGGATAGGCTGAGACGTAGTGCGAATGTTCTAAAACTACAGCAGGGCTCTCTGTTGCTAGAAAGAAAAGTTATGTCCAGGAGAGGTGCGTGTTGACCTTTGAGTGACTTGTTACTCAAAGGTCACGAGTTCAACACAGCAGACTGGGCTTAAAAAAGTCCTTGAAAACGTTATACTTCAAACAACAATACTGAGTTGCCCTTGAGCAAGGCATTTGCAGCATGAATGGCCAACATAAACAGATAGTAGCTGCACCGTCAGGTGGTGACATGGTAGAAGTGTTAGTGAGAAAAGTGCATACATGCTCAGTAAACTTTACCCGGATGAATAAAAAGAGCAAAAAAAGAGCAACTTAGAAACCACGTCTTTAAGTTCTACATCAACAACAACAACAACAACAACAACAGGTGAATGTTTCATCCTCCCGCCTCCTCGCTCTGCTACGGAAGCTCAAGACAATCCTCTTGATCTTCGTCAGCACGCCGAGGACTGAGAGCACCCAGTGAAGTTACTCCGGAGTAAAACAAAGGGCAAAAAATAAATAAATCAAACGCAAACTTCAGCTGTGACAGAACTGCTGCGTAAACAACATTAACCAACCACTAACAGGAGAGCGGTCTACTTTCTGGGGTCCGCTGGGAATTCCACCATGTACAGAACCTGCACTTAAAGTAAGGAGGATACGGTGGCGCACCACTTCGGTAAAACAACCTCCCAATTTGGAACGCGACGTGTTCTGCCTCGACCGCTTACTCAAAGAGGGGAAACAGCTCTTTTTATTCCTTTGAGGTAGTAAAAGTTAATGTGGAGGGTGAATCGGTACGTCTACCGACGAACACTCGTTCACTTTGCTTTTTATGGCCTTGTTGAGCTAATGTTGCAAATTTGACTCTTTCACCAAAGAGACGTAAAACAACAGGGTTTTTAGAAGTCACAAGAAGTAAGTAAAGACAGATATTGTACAACAAAATAGCATTGACAAATATGTTGAACAAAAAGGGTTAGGGTGAAGAATAAACCTGCAAAGGCTTCTACATTCACCACTGAATATCTGTCCACTGACCGTGTTCATTGACCAAAAACAGGAGGAGCTCAATGAGTCAAAAATTCAAATGGGTGCGAGATGAAGAAGCTGAGACGGAAGAAGAAAAGAAAATAAGTTTAGGGGGGTGGGCGTACGAAGTGGAGGGTGTCTTTTGCGCACAGAAAATCGCTCGGGCATCAATCGGCGCAAGTGATTCCTCAAACTTCTTTTTTTAAGTCCGACTTTACATGGCATTACATATGTAGCGATGCATAAAAGAACGTATGTAAGGGAGTCGGGAGGGGGGGAAATGTCAAGGGTAATGATCTCCGCGGCAGCTTACCTCCTTGGCTTTCTGTTTCAGTCGAGCTTGCTCTGGGTCCTCTTGCCTGGAGCGACTCTGAGGAGTAAAAGAAAGAAAGCGAGGGGGGGGACACAGGTTAACAGCTGTTTTTTAAAAAGGAGCCCACATCCCCCTTCCTTCGCCGCTTCATCTGTTGCTGCTGCTGCGGCAAAAAATAGTGCAAAACGGGGACAGGATACGGAGGTGTCAAGGACATCGTATTTGAATTCAGAGAAGTGCAATGGAGCGCCTTCCCCCGGGGGGGCAATGGCCTTTAAACCCCGCTCCAAATCCATCCCTAAATAAGCCGCTGGAGGGGGATTCTAATCAAAAGAGGTTATTAAAAATTCTGCAGGAGCCAGTACACTCACACACACACACACACACGGGGCAAAGGATGTTGGTGAGTATCAGTGGCAGCGTGTGTGTGCGTGCGTGTGTCACTGTGTGGCTATCTGTCGCTGTGCGTGTGTGTGTGTGTGTGTGTGTGCGTGTCCCTGGCGTAACAACACAGCACTTCTATTTTAATCAGCAGCCGAGATCTGGGCGAACGTGCTTGTCCCTGGGAATCCTTCACCACGCGGCCAAATGTACACGTACGGCTGACCACTGCGGGCGGTGCGGTAGAATATGGTACTGCACGCTAACTGATGTTTACTTTTTTTGGAGGCGGGTGTGGGGGGGGATTGGGTGTGGGGTCTGGATATAATCTGTGTTGTTTAGGTCAGGTCCACAAATAACCGTTGACATTTTAGGTGCAATTATATACTTCCCTTATTGTCCAGTATGTTTAATTGTCTTTTTCTAATCCACTGGCACATTTCAGAAGCTATATTATGTAAGCAGACGTCGAAGACAAAACAATAATTGGATATATTTTACGGTACATAGAGTATTAATATCTATTCCGATGCTAAATCAATCAAAATGTGAGTGCGGGCCAGGCCTCCCCCCCTTTCCTCTCCTCATAGCCTTCCTGCTAATTGGCTTTAAATATATCAGGCGGTTCACGTACTGGCCGGTATCACAAGTAAGACTAATGCGTTTGCCCTCCGGTCGGACCGGAGCATCCCCCAAAGACTTGAGTCATATTCTAAGTGGACGGCGCAGAGTGGAGGGGAGGGCTTGTTGTGAGGAGGAAGAGGAGGAGGAGGAGAGGGGATTATTTCAGCGGGGCTTCTTGTTCAGGAGGTCAAATTAGCGGGCACTCGAGCAGGAGGGAGGCAGGAGGGGTGGGGGTGCAGATGGACTGTTTACAAAGGGCAGCGGTGCCACTGGCGTGCTTTACATCTCCTCTGTCAGCTGCCCTGGTTTCCACACTTACAGGAGAGAGAGCGGATGGGGAGACGAGGAGCGGGTGCTGGACGCTTACGTTGGGTTTTTGGAAAGAAAAAATTAACAAAACTCCAATACAGCGTTTTACAGTATACGACCGATCTGTGATGTCGATCATATTCCACAAGCAATTTTGACAAGTTTCACTTTGTTGCCTATAAGACTCTTTTTTTTTTTTTTTAAAGGCCCCCACAGGGTGTATTTGTTTCTTTTATCTGTGCGGTTGTGTGTGGAAAGTTAATATTCTGTCAATATATTCTCCTAAATGGGAGAAGCTTCTATTCCGATCGCTCCTCGTACAGCAGTCACTGCCACGTTTATTTATCATCGTGGTTTTCTCTCGTTTGCGTTAACATTTTTACTGAGAGTGGAAGACACAAATATCCACCAAATAGCTAAAAATCAATAGCAAGCGGTGCTTTACACCTGTCTTTTTTTGTTTTTTTTTCTTTAAATAGGATAGTAGTGTGTGAGAGAAAAAGCTAGACGAGCCACTAATGCAATGTGTCGTCTGGCTTCATAACATCATGGAGTTTTGAGGGTTATGATGTGTTCAGTGATGGATGTCTCCCTCTATATACTGGTCTTTAATGGAGAGTGAGAATAAAAAACCTCTTTTGACCTTTAAAAAGTCTTTTAAAAGGACAAAATGCCAAAGAAATACATTTATGGTTTGACACTTATCATTGTGAATAAGAAAAATATATAAAAGGACAATAAGTAAAGTAATCATTCTGTTACATTGACCGATAAATATACTTGTGTCCACAATATTTTGTACAATGTTATAGAAAAAAAAAAAAGAAGAAGAAAGATTTGCTCTCTAAACTTCTGCTCGAACTGAAACGCCATGGCAACGGGCGCCAAAAAAAAAAAAACCCGCGGACACGGCTCAGAGGTGAAGACAAACTCTCCTCGCCGATGCTCACGCAGTCCAGAGAGCCCCGGGGCGAGCCCTTCCAACAGGAACTTGGCCAAATCTGCAGAAGCTCCCCACTAAACCGGTTAACGAAGAGAACTGCTGGCAGTAGAACTGAACACACGACGTCACTACTCGTTTTCTTAACAACACACTTCACACAGTGGCCTTTTTCCTGCTGAGGCAATGTCTTTTAAAAAAAAAAACATTTTTTACAGACAGGTCGTGAGGTTTGGTGGCCGGCGTTCATCAACCAGAGGATTTTCTAATATCCTGGACCGGAGCGTAATAATGCAATTAGGACGGTGAGGTGTGCTGCAATGAGAATCTTTACTGTGGGACATTTGCTCCATTCAAAATTAATTAAATTAACCTAGCTTTCTGCTAATGTCGCACCGCCGGGCATTTTCATTTGCCAAAGATTCTCTCTCTCTCTCTCTCTCTCTCTCTCTCTCTCTCTCTCTCTCTCT